ATGCGTGAAGTATTCCTCAAGTCTTGCAGGCGCTATTGTACGTTCAACGCCGCCGGCCGCATTGTGTTTGGCGTGATTATTCGAACTCGCGTAATAATCGCGAACTAGAATAATCGCGGCATCGAATAATATAAAGCTTAAGAGGCCTATGTTGTGTTTCAACGCCGTATGAGCATTCCAACGTTGCTTTGTTTCTCCCGATTAAATATTTTTTCCGAGAATAATTACGATCATGATGATTCAATCTTTCATTTAAAACCCCCTGTCGCCACTCCTTCATTAGACGATTCAAATTAATCATCATCATTACCATCTACGATTATCAAATCGTTATCAAATGCCACTCATTTTTGATTATGCGGGTTAGTTCAACTTGGTCACTTCTTAAGACAAATTTGACAAAAGTCTCTTTGACCTTGCCAGACTTGAAATTTTTGTGTGATTGACCACTACGTTAACAATTAGACGGCCTCGATCGAATTTCGTCATTGATGGGTGTTACGTGAGCAGCATCTCCGAAGTTTGATGGGTGTATAAACGATCTGTGTGAAAATAGTTAAGGTTTCCAAAGGGCATTATTGATTATTAAAACGAACTGAAAAGAAGTGTGAAATCAGAATTTCTGAGCGTCGGAGAGAGAAAAACCTTGATAAATCCGCGCAAGTTGGCCAGAATTGAACAGTTTTGGAAATGTTTGATCACTTGGCAACCATGCCTTCCTTCGGATGCTTGCAATATGCACGAGCATGTAGTTGGAGCCTTCCCAAATTTCTGATCATGACAGCAGACTACGTGCTGTGATTCTTCCTCTCCGTGCAGAATTTCCATAGAGATATCCAAATTTCTTGGAAATGTAGCATCCTTGCTGTGAGTCGGAGTTGACGCTATGACTGTGGCTGCCCCTCCCATTAGGAATGTGAAAATTGCACGTTTCGATAGCGGAAGATAATTTGAGAGTCAGATTTGCCACCTTCCGTATCTTCATGCAAGAAAAACGCACAACTGGTAAAATTGTGGTAAATTACAACATATTTAGGAGAGGGACCGTTTCGTTTATCTGTTACAAATCATCCAGAGGCAGTGAAGAGTCAGTGCGCATCACGACTCATTCCACATGTGGCCCATGAATTAGTGATGAGTAAAAATGCACCGATGCATCCGGATGCATCGCTCGTAACAGAGTGAGGATGCATGATAGCTATACTGCCGTGCTAAGGAAAAACGCCGTATGAACCATCAGGCGTTGCCAAATTTCCTTCGATAAAACACGAATTTCCTTGTAAACTTATGAATATTTTTCTTCCAATTTTTCAGGGAATATTCTTTGTATTTTAATCTAAAGTTCCTGAAAATTTCAAGGAAAAATATTCATAATTTTTCTCATAAATAAACATTTCAGCAAAGGAAATTTGGCAACTCTCGAATGCTCATACGGCGTTTTTCCTTAGCACGGCAGTACAAGTGACGTCATTTTCAAAAAGCGACAACCGCGTTATTATCTAAGGAGAGGACATAGCGTCTGAGAGGATATTCCGTAAATATCTTATTGTAAAAATCGGTTTTGCGCGGGTCAGCGTCACTGATCAATTGAGATACTGACAACGACGATTACCAATGGTGAAAATTGGCTTAAATGTAATCCGATGATAGACAGATGATCTGGACGAAGATGAGCGCCCCCTCAACTCCAGCTCGCGGCTGAACGCGAATCCGGGCGAAATGAGGAGGGGCGGAAGGGAGGGGCTCAGGGTGTTGCGAGGAGCCCCGCCCCGCTGATGGGCCGCCGGAAAACAAGCCTAGATTTGGACGTCGAATGTGAATATGCCACTGCTCTTCCGTCTATTTTTGGTCATGTTTGATGTCATTAAAGTCTTGCGGCAGCGTTGCCGCTTGTGAAAAAAAATTAACCCACCTTTTACCGCTTACTCTCTAGGAAAAAAGGAAATCCGAAGGAAATAGCAACACTGCGTGTGATTCCCGCGCTTCCCCGTGTTGCCATTTTCCCTCGCTGAAACCGCGGATCGCCGGTGCCGGGAGTCGACCCACGCGACTGGCTCAGGGTGCTCATCAAAATTCTTGGATTTTGTTTCACTTTCCGCTAAACACCCACACTTCACAGCATCACAGCTTGGGTTATCTTCTCTGTGAAAACACCCGAGTGTTTACTTCCGTTGTGACGCTGATTTATACCTGTAGCCGTCCTTGCAGATCTAACAATAAATACGCGAAAAATTCGCAAGGGTCGTGTGAAGCGTTGCCAATGAGCGGAAAATGTGTCATCCTCTTGAGATCGGCCTCTTCAAGAATATCTCGAGGAATTTCTGCGGCCTGTTGAATTCACATGCCTCTCATTGTAGATTTTATCGACCTCCTCTGGCGTTCGGTTCGAGAAAAACTTGGAGTCAATTTTTTATTCCAAAAGGCGCACCAAAAAAATTTGAAGTATTGTTTACAGTGATCCTTGCCAGAAAGTAAACAAATATCAATACATCGAGCAAACTTTGCAAAAATACGAATTTGGCTTTTCACTTTTTGTAGAAACAAAGAAGCAAAAGTGTAGAATCATACTTCAGCAGTCTATTGGTGAAAAATCTCCTCCAAAAACTTCAAATTAAAGCCAAATGAGACTTGAGGCGAAAATTCCAGTTCGATTTGACTAATCGAATGCGATATTTCGCGTTTAGTTTCATTTGCCTTTAATTTAGAGTTTTCGGAAGAGATTCTTCACTAATAGACTGCTGAAGTATGCTTCTACGCTGTCGCTTCTGTTTTTACAAATAGTGAAAAGCAAAATTTGTTCGATATATCGATGTTTGTTCACTTCCTGGGAGGAATCACCTTAAAGGTCTATCTAACGTTCACAAAAATTACAACAACTCAAAACATTTTTCAAGTCAAAGGCAAAATGCCACTTTTCTCGACTTTTTCCAGCGGGAGACGTCTCTTTTGACACGGTCGAAGCGGCGGAAGTTTTCTGCCGTGTTGAGGAAGAACGCCGTATGAGCCTTCAGGCGCTGTCATATTTCCTTCAATAAAAACCTAATTAACTAGGAAAATCATTCATATGTTTCTTCAATTTTCTCACGCAATTTTTCTCGCAATTTTATCTAAAACGTCTGAAAATTTCAAGGAGGATTCGCATAATTTCTTCAAAAAATACACGTTTTATTTGGAGCAATTTGATAACGCTCGAAAGCTCATACGGCGTTCCTCCTTAGCGCGGCAGTATTTTGGTCGGCTGCGGCTCCCCCCGTGACTTTGGCAACATTTTAACGCGGATATTTATGAGGTGATTAATAAAAGCGACTTTGCGCCTCTCCGATCGGAGCGTCGCCGGCAAATAAATTTGCGTGCAACATTTAATAACCGTCTTGGATCCCACTGAACTTAAATCCGCTTAACGCGCCGCTTATTTATATCGAGGCCGTTGACCCCTCCGTCCCCGCTCCCACCCGCGCCACACTCCTAAGCAAGAACCGCGTGGCTCAAATTGGGAACTCCACGCAGATGTGTTCTTTTAGCATAGCGCGGCTGCGTTTTTCCACCCCACTGCCTCCTCAGGATGTAAGTCAATTAAAAGCGCTTTGATAAAACTGCCATCTCCCGTTTACCTTAAAACTCCGTCCATTTGCACTTGCATACGCGTGTAGTTCATACTGAAAGCGCAGCGAATGAATCAAAGTGGCCGGTATCCCTCTAAACGAAAACTACACGACAGTGTAATCGTTCCGCTAAAAAGTCCGTAGCCTGGTGGCGTAAGGCACGAAAATGTTCCGTCGATGCTTTTCTATCCGTGCGTACAAGTCTTTTTTCAGTATCCACATCGAGCTGATATTTGGACTGAGTTAAGCAGAAAGGAACCAACCCACATTTTGGAAACAGTGGAGTTATGAGTGGTTTTGAACTCAACTACTGCTTTACTATCTATCGCCAAAAATTCAAAGTTTTTGTTAGAGCAAATTTTGCAGAAATTGAACTTGAAGTTTATCTTTTACATTGAGTCTTATTCAGGAGCTAAACTTTAAGCCTCTTTTTCTCGGTTCGATCCCGATGTGGCTTGGCTCCTTTCTGTTTAACTCCGTCAATTTTGGAGACCTCACATTGGCTATCAAAGCAATACAAACGAACGAGTCAAAAATGTCGGTAGGCGATGTGATATTGCTATAATCTTCGCCGAATGATAGCTAATGAAAGTGGCGCCAAGTAGATTGCATGATTATGATGAATCGCGGTCTCTCTAATCAAACGTAGATCCCTCATCCTTTTTTACACGGCAATTCACATAGTGATATCCTTGAAAGACATTTTGCACGAACAGATATTATCATGAAATGTTGCATGGTTTTCCTCAGTTTTACTCCACTCCAGTGGCGTGGCGTGCTTTGCGATCTATCGATTGATCTGCCATTTAAACTTATGGCAAAGGATCGATAGACAGAGTGTTCGCAACGAACACTTTAATGATCGATTCTTTAGCACAGCTTCAAATGGGACAATATCGAAAATGGATCATCCACGCCTCGCCACTAGAGTCCCTTTACACTGAGAGTCAAGACAACACCCCTCATGGAGTCACAAACGGGAATAAAGATTACAGAAATTGAACGTTTTTCGTAATCCTTGATCGGCCCATTCTCAAATTCCTTTCTCCGTTCCTTCTCTCATTCCGTTTGTTCCTTGCCGAACCCGTAATTCCCTGGCCCATTCCAGATTATAATCTTTGCAATCGGTGAAAATGTAATCTTTATTCCCGTTTGTGACACAGTGAAGGCCTAAAATACGGGAACCAATCAGAAATGGATTCACATTGTCTTGACTCTCAGTAAAAAAATGTAATCTTTATTCCCGTTTGTGGCACAGTGAAGGCCTAAAATACGGGAACCAATCAGAAATGGATTCACATTGTCTTGACTCTCAGTATAAAGGGACTCTACTCGCCACTGCTTCACTCGTCTTTGAGTCAACGTAATTGAAATCAATTGTTTGTTTTTATGTTACAGAGAGACCTGTTCCATAATAATTGTTGCCGCCCATTATAACACGTAAACGAACATGCCGAAGCCCGTGAAACAGGAGGGCGAGGACCCAGATCCAACCCCGTACTTGTTCGTTTCCTTGGAACAGAAACGTATCGATCAATCGAAACCTTACGATGCTAAGAAGATTTGCTGGGTCCCCGATGAAGCAGAGGGTTTCGTTCTCGGAGAAATTAAGGCAACTAAGGGCGACTTGGTCACCGTTGGACTCCCCAGTGGCGAGGTAAACTTTGAGACGGGCATAATTGAGCAGAAAACGTTGAAAATTATCGCCAACGTAAAATTGTATACATCAGAGCTCCTGTGTAGTGAGATTACCAAATTCAGAAGAAAATGTTTTTTTATAGATAAAATAAAAATGAAAATTGAATTTGAAAAAAAAAGAACTTTTTGAGATGAATTCAAGGAAAAGTCATCTCCTTAAAACTAGCATTTTGGACACCTTTGTTGGAATGACAAAAAGGTTCATAATTCTGAAGACTTATAACCTCTAATGAATAAGTCTTCCCGAAGTCTAATATTTAATTCATTTCATGACGTTTGCAGTTCTTTAATAATCCTTTTTTACACATGAATGAATAGATTAGATCTCAATACACCCCTCCATTAAACATGAAATAAAAACATGTGTGTCAAAATACGCTAGTGATCATTATTAATAATTAAAAATTCACATCGTAATAGAACTGCTAAGCAGGTTGCTAACAAAATATTGATAAACTTGTTCTCATTTTAACCATGTTCATATGTCAATCAATGTCTGAGCAGGAAAAAGTTTTCAAGAAAGATTTAGTGTTCCCGGTGAACCCTCCGAAATTCGAGAAAGTTGAAGATATGGCCGACCTGACCTATCTTAACGACGCCAGCGTGCTGCACAACTTAAAACAGAGATATTACTGTAAATTAATCTACGTAAGTTATCACTTAATTTTATACTTGGATTTTATTTACTCGGATATTTTATTAATCATATGTTTCTTTTTTGCACAATTTAGACGAAGGATTTCAAGAAGGATCAAGTGGGACAGGTTAACCCACCGAAATACGAAAAATGCGAAGATATGTCTAACTTAACCTACCTTAACGATGCGTCTGTCTTATATAACTTGAAACAAAGATACTATCATAAACTCATTTACGTAAGTCTATCAAGGCCCCGCATCCGGTAGAGTAGATGGTCCACGCACTTTTTGCCAAATTCCTCCCGTGTTTTTGACTGCTTGTTTTATTACATTTTCAAACCTCCCTCATTTTCTTTTTCTAAAAAATCCTCCAGTGTCAGTTCAGAAAAGCTTGGCAAGCGTAGATATTTCCAGGCCTTAAGCTTCAATAAGTAATTGGTTACAATTAATTTTCACTGAAAAGTATCAGTAGAGAAAGGAAGCACCATTACACGTTAAGTGCAAAAAAAAGCTTCTCTTAAATCACATTTGTAAACAAGAGACTAAATCAATTTCAATAGAGATGGGTTCTAAGACGCTGGAGGATTAGCTGTATCTTTCCCTGTGTTTGTTGCTTTACTTCCCAAGCTCATTGCATACCTTAAATGTACCTATTTTATATTTCCATAATTTCATCATCCAATCAAAAAAGAAGCCCTCCTCACCCTAGCGTATAGCTGAATACATCTCATCCGTTAAAAATTCCATTACTTGTTCGGATAAATCATCGTAAAATCATGCGAGATATCCGACCCAGACTTGAGTCAAGGAGTGAGCTTCTACGTCCAGGAACACTGCAATTGAGTTGCCGTAGTTTCTGTTTGAAACTGATGGACTACTCTCATTTGACATAGAATTGAAAAATACACCTACATCCTACAAATCCCCCTTCGCCCCACCTATCCAACCGCTTTGCTGTCATGCGATTTAGCTCCTCCAAAGAAGGATAATCGAAACTTTTGGACAAACAAATTGAAATCGTATGGAAAACTGTATGAGGGCCGACTGAATTTCTACTAAGTGGAAAATCGGTAGGTCCTCTAAAATGTGAAAAAAAAAATTGGAAATGAAAGAGAGATTATATCAAGTATCAGTTTTCCTATACTCCTGATTTCAACATTTTGGAGGCAGCTTTGATCTGAGCATGATGGTTACCGCATTTCTTATCAGTGCTCTCAAAAATAATAAAGTATTCCAGCCCCCTGACCGCTTCTTGGCCGAACAATCCCAAAGCGTTTCGCGCCTCAGGTGTTATGCGTTAATCTCAGTGGCAAGGCGTGAAAGATCGATTATCGATATTACCTCATTTGACGCTATGGTAAAAGATCGATTATTAAGGTGCTCATCGCCAACACCCTGTTTATCGATCCTTTTGTATAGAATTGAATGGCAGGTCAATCGATATATCGCAAAGCACGCCACGCCACTGGTTACTCTTATGATTTTATATTATAGAGTAAGATAAATGGAAAAGCCCCTCTGAAAATTGTAAACAAAATAGCATTTCCTTCACTTATTAAACGAAAAATATCGCATGAAAAATACGCGAAGAAAAATGTAAAAACAAATCACTTTATAGAACTCGCTCAAACATTGAACGTTTTAAATCCTAAGAAAATGTATGCCAATAGAACTTTGCGACGTTTTTTCATTGTTAATTTTTAATGAAAACCGTTCATTAATTTTTTTTAAATTTTCGCCCGGAAAAATCTTTTACATCAAGAGCTGAACGAAACTTTCGAGAGATTAAAAATCGTTGGTTTTCATTTTGAGAGCGAAAGTGAAGAAAAACACGAAGGGGAAAGCATACGAAAGTTCCGCCTAGTTCAATTTCATAAATTTCAGTGAAATTCATAGCCTCCATGAGAGCACTGCCTTCACTAACTCCTCCAACTAGGTTGACTAACTTCATGTGTAAACTATTCCTCTGCTTTTTTTGGCCTCGGATCAGACACGTGCCCGCGAGGAGCCAGCCGGAAACTGTGCAAAGGTGCAAAGACCACCGACCACAAATGCCGGTCATAGACATCGCATTCCACATTATTTCACACCATAAGGATTACCACACTTGGATTCCTGATCAAGTCATCTCCGTGTTTGTCATGTTTTAAGAAATCCTACTTCACTGTCACTCAACTGACTACAATAAACTTAGTCAGCTTCATAAAAATAGACTGTTACAGATTTACGTCACACAAAGATTATGAATCGTTCGATTTGAGACATGTCCTTTATCTATCTTTGCATTAACAGAATTGAGGTTGCGTTGATGTTTGGGTCATTGAGAAACATCTCTGTAGAAGTCGCTATGATGACGTAACGTCTGAAGCAGTCTATTCTGTCGCGCTAAGGAAGAACGCCGTATGAACATTTTGCCAAATTTCCTCTCAGAAAACATTTATTTTTTTAGAAAGCCATTAATATTATTTATTGCAAATTCAGACCCTTGCGATCAATGTACGAAAAACATTCTTTGAAAAAGTAGGGGGAAAATTCTCACCAATATACCTGATAATCCGTGATTTGTCTGAGGAAATTTGGACGTCTGAAGGTTCATATGCCATTTTTCCTTAGTACGGCAGTATTACCATTCCTGTTTGCGATCGTTTTAAGTCGTGTAGGATCGTCGGTCTTCAGTGACGATTTAAACTAGGGTATGAAGACCCCTCTTCATTTGAAAAGTATGCAAAAGGGTCTCCCATAGGCAAAAATGGTGCCATTTAATTAATCAGAAATATTCTCCCTCCAACTTGGATCGTTGCATTTTCACACCGGTTATTTTCATACCTGATTAAGAACCTGGCTCATTTCTTCAAAAGGGTGGAATATTTCGCTTTTTTGTTCTGATTAATTTATAATTACGAGGGGGTTCTACTACTACAGCGTCCAAGCGGCCCAGCCTAGAGAGAACATTGTCGCAGTGGCAAAGCGAATAACCTAGAACATTTTTCTCACTTGGTTTTAGAGCAAATTTTTGATTCTTGTTAAAATTACTTGTACGCAAAAATACTAACGCCACAGTCCTTTGATCCTACACGCAAAATACATCTTGCACATTCTTTTTCATTGTATGATAATTTCAACGCGAGTGTGTTAGTTTGCCGAACAACATTACTCGTAAATGTTACAGTGACCCCAGTTTTTCTCTAATAATTTCCAGTAATGAGATTAGAGTCTGTAACTATAGAAAGTGGTTCTTGGTTTCATGCGTGCAAACAAAGTATGTATGGGCTTTCGCGATTACAGCTTAAAAAATACCATTCCGTCTGCTGCAACGGAACGGCAAACTTTTGTAGAATCCGTTTAGAAATTTCGTGCAAGATCAATAACGGAGGATAATGCGAAAATAAGGATAATGTCATGGTGGCGTGATACCAAAACGTTGCCGGTATATTTCGGTTCCCGCTTAAGTGTTCGTTCGGCAAACTTCCATAGTAGCTAATTGTACAGAACCATTTTCAAGATACCGTACTTATTTTCCAATGCATTGCTATGTAATAATATTTTTCCTTAGAGAGGACTGGCAAAAATGAACAAAGTCAGTGTAATAGTTTTAGTTTAAGTGTTTGCTGGAGTGATTTAAAAAAAATTCCTGACTGTTAAATGTATGACTGTTTCCTCAGTTGAAAACTTGAGGAGAAAATTGAAGAAAAATGATTCGCGTTGCTCGATCATACCGGAGAATTTTTTTTAAATTTATTTATCTAAAAAAATTGAACATGCTTATTTAAATTTCGAGCTTCCCTCTGATATCTAGAATGAAAAGAAAAAAGTAATGAGAGTAATTTTACGAGAGATAAATCTCACGTATAAAATAAATGTGTTTACAAGGTTGGTTCTTCATTATAAAAAATGAAAAATGATTTGTGTGCCACATTTTAAGTTTGGTTGGCTGGAAAGTCAATATTCCTTTTGATCTAGTAGGTTTGATCGAGCAAAGCTCTAAGATTTTTCTAAACCATCCCCACCCCCCAAAACGAAAAAATCTCAACATTTTTTCGATGCATTTTTCAAAATCTGTACATTTCGCATGGGGCTTTCCTTTTTGCACGCATTGCACGGCTCGTTACGCAAGCTGAACCCCAGCTAAATCCTGGTAGAACCAGAAAGTCACATGGAAGTGAATTCTTGAATGGATGGATTCTTGGAAGATTAAGAACTTCCAGTTTTTTCATGTTATTATTATTGCATTACCGCACACTGAAAAAAAAAAAAACTCCGGCCTTAGAAGCCTTACTTACGGGCTACTTAGAAATATCGTCCGCGATCCAGGCTCAGAAGCCGAAAGTTGCAGGCGTAGCACCCATAGCAATCGAAGCTACGGCTCAAACATCCGGAATTTTCGGCCCCTGAGCCAGGAACGGACGGTATGTCTATATAACTTGTAACTTTTTTTTTCAGTGCAGTTTCCGTCTGCAGAGTTGTTGATAAATTGTACCTACCATGAGTCTTAGTTCTTTCGTTTGGAAAAATGAGCTAGATTGAAGTCTTCAAAGCAGGCAGAGCATCGCATGAGAGGCTTGTTCACTGAAAAACCTCAATTTTAATAACCTTCAGACTACAATGGAATACAAAATTCATTAATACATCTGATCTGCATAAGTTACTTTTATGCTTAAGAATTCATGCAGATATTTGCCAATATTAAACAAAAACACGGAGGTGTCTTACACCAACGACGAACAGTTTGACATAGTCACGTTTTATAAAAGTATAACGGCAAAAATGCGATGCTCTGCAAGCTGAATTGTGTCTAAGAATGTTTGAAAATTAATAATATACCCTTTAAATTGGACGTCAATATGCAAGATGAGTTTATCTGCGATTGTTTTTCGTTGTTTCAATACGTTCAACTTCATATAAGTTTTGAATGGCAAGTGCGTATTGTATATTGTTACTTATATATTGTGCGCGTAATAAAGTGCACTTGTTAAAATAGCCTCTTTTGATTTGGTTGAACGATTGCTGTAAACCTAGCCAGAATGTTGAGGAAAATTATTGTTGAGGAAAAAATGAGGAGAATCTTTTTTTATTTACGAAGTATATGCGTTATTCGCTCATTTACAATAAGAAATGCATAGGTACTTTAACCTATTTGCGATATTTATTTCTTATTCTTCCACTCGAAAAGCTGCGGCTCAATTTGACACAAAAGTTTTATTCGCCGTATTTATCATTATTTGTCTTCATTGAATTTTACAGACATACTCAGGACTTTTCTGTGTGGCTATTAACCCTTACAAAAGATTCCCCGTGTACACACTTAGGTGCGCCAAATTGTACCGAGGTAGACGAAGAAATGAAGTTCCACCCCACGTCTTCGCTGTCTCTGACGGTGCCTATGTAAACATGTTAACCAGTAAGTTTCTTGTTCAAAACTTTCACTATAACCCCCTAAAAGTTTGCATACGTGATAATTTAATTCTTCATGACACAATCTGACGCTCTTTTTAGTTATGTACAAGAGCATACTCTGAGTCCTAGAGTCCGTCGAACATTTTGTCATGGTTGGTCAAACTACGTAGTTTTCGGCCACGCTAGTTGAATCTGGTTCGTCAAACTTGTTTCAAGCTCAACCAATGTTTTAATATCTTGACTGAAACTTAGTTCCGGGAGTATTGGGTCAACTTCATTGTATCGCGCGCGTTGAACTGAAAAACTTAGACACGAGGTCAGTTTAACGCGCTTCTTCTCGTCAATGTTTGAAAAACTGTGATTCATTGGCAAGTTTTATCAATTTATCTCCCCTGATGAAACTTTGCAGAGAGGAATGTTATTATAACCTGTGAGATAAGAGGCAAGCGTGATTTTTTCAAAAAAAAATAAAAAGGAGGAAATATCGTTTTAGAAGGGGTTTTTGGAGAAAAAGAGAATTTTGAAGGAAGACTTTGAATGTATATTAATCCGTACTTTTCAATGGTTAACAATTTTTTCTTTTCATTTTCAGATAAGGAAAATCAGTCTATGTTAATTACGTAAGTAATTTTTCACTTTTGTCTTAATTACGTCTGGTTTTTCGAATTAAAATTATACACTCAAAATAATTGTATTACAACACATGACAAGTTGTCAAAGTAGATCTACTTTATAGAAATGTGTTAATTTATGATATATAATCTTTCAAAAATCACTGAACCTACTACAACACTTTAATCAACTACAGTTTGTTTTGAAAAGAAGTGTCCTGACTGTTACGTAGAATGGAAGGATGAACTAGAAGTTAAATTATAAGCGGAAAAAGTTGGAAGGGTTCCTTTCTTACATCTGAAGTCAATAGGATGAATACCGTACGTGATAATCACATTTTATGGTGTTGTACTAATTTAACATAAATTTCTCTGTGCAGCGGAGAGTCTGGTGCCGGTAAAACTGAAAACACGAAGAAAGTAATTGCGTACTTCGCCACCGTAGGAGCCAGCTCAAAGAAAGAGGAAGCTGCCAATCAGAATAAGGTACATAACCTACATTGTCTGAATACTTCATTTTCAGTTAAATCGAGAAAGAGTGTATCGCTAATTTTTCAAGACGAGTTGAATACGAGGGAGAGAGATCGTCATTATTTCGGCGACTAAACACTACTATTGCATCGCGCAATACGGTCTTTCAACGCAGGTTTTAAAGAACGAGTAATTTCCTCTTTTTTTTTCATTCTTTTTTTTTAAATTAGATTATTGTAAACTTCTTGGGAACAGAATTATGCACAATGTTATTAAATGTTGAATAAAGTTGATCTTGCTAGCAACTGAGTAACTAATAACTAATATACATGTTAGTATTCAAAAATTAAGTCTATGACTTTTGAGTCCGACCAAGTGGCTGGCCAGTTCCCATGGTTTGACTCTCTCAAGACGTCTCAGCTCGTTGAAATAACCCAGGAGCTGTTGAGTAATTTCCTTATGCGGTTGTAATACTTAGCCGACATCCAGCCAAAGGTTTTTTTTAAAGGGCCTTCGGAAATAAACTCGCCTGAATTCTAACTTTTAGGTCTCGGCTAATGTACTCCTTATGCATCTTTTCTAGGGTTCCCTAGAAGATCAAGTCGTCCAGACTAACCCTGTACTAGAAGCTTTCGGTAACGCCAAGACAGTGCGTAACGATAACTCTTCACGTTTCGTAAGTAACTCACATATTCATTTTCTATATTTATCGCAATAATACTTTTTTCTGAAGCTTTATTCTAAATTATATACTTTGAAAAAAAGTTGACATGAGGATATGATGTCTTTGAAGAAAAATTTTAAGCTTGGCTCATTACATCACCACTCGTACAAACGGCGTACCTAATTCACATAAAACATAATCGTACGTCTCCTGTTGTGCTTCATCTACAATACAATACCTTACTTTACAATATCGCACTAATCAATGCATGGTAATTTCTACGATCTCATGATACATGTTTAAACACTCATGCATCCGATTGCCAGATTTTACTCGTTTAAACATCTCACATAAGACAATACCTTTTACAGTCCTAGAGCAAACAGTCATTCTTGCGAAACGATTCCAAGTAATTTTACGCACTAAAGAATGGATTTTACATTGAAAGCTCCTCACTTAATACAAGTTTTTCTCTGTTCTAGGGTAAATTCATCCGTATTCACTTCGGCCCAACTGGTAAACTTGCCGGAGCTGATATTGAAACATGTAAGTTAGATTTTTGTCATTATTTGGGGGCTACACTTCGTTAAATATTGGCAAAGTTCAAACCATAAATATACACATTTTATATTTGGCACTCAACCAATTTTTATCTTTCAAGAAAAAAATACAGCAAAAAGAAAAATGCATCTTAAAGAAAAATTATTAATGACTTTTCATCAATGACTTTTGCTGTAATTTATGGAGACTTAACTCTTTTCTCTTGGCTGTAATATAAGCGATTCAACATCGCCTAGAAGACATTAATGACTAAAAAATAATACTTTCCATTTCTAACTGATTGGTAGAGCTGAGGAACAAATATATCTCTTATACAGGGCCGGATTAAGGGGGTGGTCACATGGGCCGCGGCCCATGGCGACAAATCTATAGGGGGCGGTAAATTTTGATTTTTTTTTAAATGTAGGCTTAAAAAAGTCGAATTTAGAAAACAAACTACAAACGAGGAAAGGCGACAAAAGCTCTAATTTTCTGAGAGTATAGTAATTTCGAGTTTTGTCGTATTTATTAGTCGAGTTAAGAGAGAAACCAAACACGCAATTTGGCCTGGAACGGCGCGACTTGGAGAGAAACGATGACGAGGACTTGAGATGAAAAGGAGAAGCCCTCGGCGCGGCGATCGGCATGTAACACATATTAGCCCCTATAGTCCAGGCGCCTGGTAGCTAAAAATGAGGCTACCTGGAATTTTGGGTACACAGCGATTTTTTTGGCTTACTTTATGTTTTTTGGGTCGCTGAATCCGAATCTGAAGTTTCCGCACGCGTATCTGGTGAGCATTTTCTGCTATTTTGAAAAAATGGCCTAAAAAGGCCCTTTTTTGCGGTTTTTTTGATATAGCGGCTACGGATGAGGAAAAGTCCCGGATTTAGCTAATGTTTTGAATAGCTGACATAATTTGGAAGAAAATGGTGTATACATATGTTAGGTTTGCTTAAAAATTGAGGAAGATACAGCATCGTGAACATCGCGCCTATTCACGTTTTCGCGGCGCACCCGTTAACGCGTGATCCGGCTCGCCGCGGTCAGCTAAGTTCCGAAGCGTTCCAAAGTTCCGAGATCCGAGGTTCCTCAATTTTTGAGCAAACCTAGCATATTCATATACCATTTTCTTCCAAATTTTGTCAGCTATTCAAAACATTAGCTAAATCCGGGACTTTTCCTCATCCGTAGACGCTATATCAAAAAAACCGCAAAAAAAGGCCTTTTTAGGCAATTTTTTCAAAATAGCGGAAAATGCTCACCAGATACGCGTGCGGAAACTTCAGATTCGGATTCAGCGACCCAAAAAACATAAAGTAGGCCAAAAAAATCGCTGTGTACCCAAAATTCCAGGTAGACTTACCAGGCGCCTGGACTACTATATGACTGCACAAACACGCATTGCGGGAAACACAGTGAGATCAGCGTGAAACGCATAGCGCCTACAAGACTGCGTGAATACTTCACGCAATGCGTCAAACACAGTGCGTTCAGCAGCGGTCGGCGCGGCGAGAAACTCATAGCGCCTACAAGACTGTCGGAATGCTTCACGCACTGCGCCAAACACGGTGCTGTCTGCGCGGCGCGGCGCGGCGGCGGAAGTTAAAATTATTGATCCAAATTTATGTTTGTTCTTTCATATTTTTTTCGTTCATTTCTTATGAATGGAAGGCCTTGTCCACAAAGAGATAGGTTTACGAGACGTAACTTTCGCGCAAAGTTCCGTGAACTTTTGCTAGTAGTGTTGACAGAGCTTTCCCAAAAAATGTGTTCAACACAAGTAAACGCGTCTTATGCACCCCTCCCCCTCTGGCACGTTCATTTGATGGTTTTTATTGATTTTTCAAAACGAATGAGAAGGGGGCCCACGGGCGGCAAGTAGGTAAATCCGGCCCTGGACATAAGATATGAGCGGACGAGTCAGTTTGAAAAATGGAATCTTACATCAAGAAAAATTTAAGAAAGTTCCTCAAACATCATTCATCCACGAATCTCCTTCATATGAAGCTATTGGACTGTCAATTGTTCCGTCCCCATTAATGCTGCTGATGTTCATTAATAAGAAACTTCTTTATTACAGATCTATTAGAGAAGGCTCGTGTCATTTCCCAACAGTCATTAGAACGATCATACCATATTTTCTACCAAATTATGTCTGGATCTGTAAAAGGAGTAAAAGGTAACCATCCGTTTCCAATTTCACTTTAATATTTTTATCTTTGAATGTTTTTCTTCTCCAAAAACCACGGGCTCAAACCTTTATGGTCAAAGATTAAGGAGAACATAAGACATTCATCACATAAGTCAATTTGTTTTGGTCCTAAATTTTGACGAAAAACTTCATCAGAATGCTGTAAAATCAAAAGTTTCGAAACTTCAATCATACTTTAAAATGTATCTCTTTATATTGAATATATCTTTATCGAACTAAGCTTACTGAAACAGCCGCAGTAACGACCAGCCCTCGTGAGATACCCTTTCTCGATCGGTGATTTAGTTCTTCATGTTTTTTCTACCAATATATAAATATATATTTATTTATTCATATTCTTTGAAAACTTGAAGCACAATTCAAAGATTGCGCTTCCAAGATTAGAACTTTTTGGATAAAATACAACCAGTTTTTAGTTTGACAAACTACGATGTTATTCATTATTGCATTTGAAGTTTACCAGTTCATCGCATAACTTGACATCATTTTGAAATCGTATCTATACATATTTGAATCTTAATCAATTAATTTTGGACAACACGTACAGTAAACTTTCATATCATTACTCTACCGCAAGCATGAAAATTTTAAAAGTGATGAGAAATTTTAGAGTGAAAAAAGAAGAAAAAGGGAGAGAAAAACTTCGCAAACCTCAATCCAAAAAGTTTTAATCGTTTCACTAATGACTATGTTATTTCAATATTATCCTGATTTTCAAATCCAGCGGTATGAGCTCTGCATACGCAACCAAAAAAGTTAAATTATAATTTCATTTTAGAATGGTAACTAAAAATATGTTTCAGGATTTTATGATTAATTCTTTAAATTCAATAAATTCAACGTTAATTTAAGAGGAAAAAGAAGAAGAAAGGCGAATTTTCAGAACGAGAGCCTGCATCACATACTTGAAAGAAAAAAAATTAAATTATAGCATGACATGAGTCATAAGTGGAGAGGAAACAAACTCAAACAATAATAATTTTAAACGTTGAATAATTCAAAGTAAAATAGGGAAACAAATTCGCAACGACTTTACGGCGAAATCATTCTAGCCTCTTTTAGTCGAACATTCACAGTGTGAAAGCTGGACTAGCTATTTCCAAACCTCTACTCAGGAATACACATGTGAAAGTAATCAAAGCTCATACGCTTGATTTGTTCCTAATAGTTATCTGTCGTATATTTAGGAGTTTTTCAACAGTGAAAAACTTGAACACAAAAAATTATGATCATTTAAATGAGTAAAAAGGGACAAATGTAGTAACCAATTCGTCCAACTTCTTGTTGTGGATTGGTTATTTAGTCATGGGTAATTTTGCAGTGAAGTGTTAAACAGTTAAAATTTTGCTCATCTTTTAGATCCTATTTTTTTGTGAGGACTGTCGATATTTACTTTGCAAGCGGTACTTCCAATGAACCTAAAAAGTATGTTCATTTCTTATTTGTTGTCAATTGCGCCGATTTCGGTTCTCCGAGAGGAGATCGAACTCGCCGGCTCGTCCCGAAGCGAGTCTACGATATTTTCTTTCTCTGTGTGTGCCTACCTGTAGAATACCTAATGATGTGAACTCTTATTTATGAATCGTTGGCAGAAATGTGTATGTTAAGCGGCGATATTACCGATTATCATTACGTTGCCCAGGGAAAAACGACCATCCCCAATGTTGACGACGGGGAAGAATGTCAGTTGACCGATGTAAGTTCCTCCCCTCGGCGAGCTCCTCACCAGCTCACTCAAAACTAGTCTTGCTGTACTGTTCGTTTCGTTCTATCAATCACCAGCGCTGAGGAGAAATGTTTTCTTTCGTAAAAAGAAGGAAGGTCCATCCACATTCAAATGTTAGAGGAGACTCTTAATCCTACATTCCATGGAAATGGAATGTAGGAAAAGATCCATGGAGAGGACGATTTGAAAAGATTTTTCCTCCGTGCGCTGGTCCATGAACTTTCTTATCCTTCTTTGCCCTTCCCATTTACTTCCGATTTAGAAATCGAGTTCGGTTGGATTTTCTTTCTTTCTCAGAGTTTTGAGTTAGATTTGAGACTGAAATTTTGCAGTGCGGTTTGTTAGGTTTCGTCAGTTAGATGTGTAAAAACCTCCTCGTTTTCCCCGGAGGCCCCTGACACAGAAAATATGACAGCTGATAGCATGATTGCCTGGCAGTGTACGAATACTGTGTATTTCGCTTCATGTGTACAAAATGGAAAACAGCCGGCAGCCTTGATGTTTACTTGAGTGTTGGCATGCACATGCGGGATTGATATGAGGAATGCAGAATCAAACGTTCAAATTTTATCGATTTGCTTTTCCCTTTTTTCTCTCCGTGCAGACGCACAGAAACATTGTAAATAATCTCATCATATCAGTTTCAAGTAGGTTGAGTTAAAACTACCCCTGTTAGTTAACAGCGTTGAGAAAGGTTACAACATCATCAATGGTAGGCAATGTCTCGAAAGAAAGACCACTACTGACCAATATCACGCAATTTAACACTTAGTAAATTGCCTGAAAAGCATTGCCGAAATTGCATCGCTTGAGTAAAAAGAAAACTCCTTGTATTCGGTAACTTTTACAAATTTCAATTTAAAGATCATGGCCCTACCCCTTTCATACTTCAAAAAATAACCACTAAAAATCATGGTGGATTTCAAACTTATCTGCTGCTTATGTTACGTTCAATAATTTTTTGTGAAAACCAGTGCAGTAGTTCCTTTTTTTCTAGACTAAAAGCACAATCCTGCAAAATTTAAATCATTGCTGCTAGTATTTCTTTCCCGGTGCAACTTGGAGTACAAATTCTTGAACTGAAAATTCATTCAAAGCTAAATATTACGTTATCGGTTTCTTACAATGTCTCCAAAAGTTTGAAAACAAATGTCTGGAAGAATTCAATATCATATATTCTGAGGACACCCAATTTTCTATCGATGCACGTTGCATGATACATTTTATTTGTAATATATAATTGTCATCTCTTGTATAGAGATGTATGTTGTGGACACAAGCTATTATTTTAATGTGATTAATTGAATAATTCGTTAATGACTCCCATTTTTCTTTGACCTCAATTTAACTTTTTAACGTGCAAACATAGATCATGATATCATACTCTACATCTTCAAATCAATCCCACGAATGAGTCGATTGTAAAATTTGCGCCTAGTACTTATCGAATAAGTATAATCGATAGAACCCTGCTCTGCAGTGTATTTATCGATATGCGCTTTTTATACCTTCGACCACAATGCACCATTCGACACGAAGCAGTCATATTTTCTGTTCAATGTACTTATTTCATCCTCGAGTGTCTTTGATTAGATTGATTAGATAAGTGTTTAGTCTTGGAAACCCCTCCCCAGAGTTTTACCCTGTTTTGAGTGATCCCTTGTTTTTTTTCTAAACTAATTCAACCATTGGCGGATCCAACAAATCGGCAACATTGTTTTTCTCAATTTAAACCTATGGAAATATATCGATTCTTGGAGGGGCCAGGTGCTCCGACGAGATTCGATTATTTGACATAGGTTCAAATGGAGGAAACCCGGTGCTGCCAAATTGCTGGATCCGCCCCTGAATTCAACACGACGACCTCCAGACTGGCAAAAATTTACTACAGTGTGCCACCATATTTAGTGTAGGCGTTTCCCCGCCGTCTCTGGTTTCACCGTTTACACTTACTTTTGAAAATTCATTGATGGCGAAGTGCCTTTTGACAGCGTTACCGTTTGCAGTTTTGAATCTCGATATTAGTTTTTTGTTTTATTTGTGTTACCCATGTTTTATTTTGTTTTCCATTTCCACACACAAGTCCTTTGCTCACTACATAATTCATTCCATTCAGTGACGAAAACACAGCTCACGCACTCTATCTTTTGATATGTTGATAAGATTTTTGATCAATGAGGTCCCTCTGAGCATGCTTACATACAGCATTTTGAGAACAGCAATTATACATTATGTGATGTACGTAATGCACATGCCGCGCCCAATGCAAAGGCAAATTATTTCATCAAATTCATTTGGTAATTTGAGAGTAATTATCAGTTTATTTTCTTTTCCCAAAAATGCAAGGATTTTTTTTTAAAAAATCTTTAGACCTATAAACAATGGGTCCCTTTGTTGATATTTTTTAATCAACGCGTAAATGTAAACCTGCCTTCTTTTTCCCGCGTGACCAAGAATCCAAGAAGTGAAAGGATAAACTTGAGTAGTGCATTCTTAGTCAAAACAAGTGAAATGAATTATAGAGTGAGCAGAATTGTAAACATACCACCAAAACCGAAAGGTTACGTCGCCAGGACTGACTGACCTTATTTTCAGAAATGTGCCTTTTATCGAAGAACATAAACGACTACCACTTTGTGAGTCAGGGTAAAACCTCCATTCCTGGCGTTGATGACGGAGAGGAATTCAGAATTACCGACGTAAGTCCTTGGCTTCGACTTTGTGAACAAGGAATGTTGAAGCTTACCTAATGTCATCGTGATCTCTGCTCAGTTTCCACTTTAAAGTTCCCCTGAAAGCAAAATTAAATTTGGTCAGCGCTCATTCTGAATTTCATTCGGATTCACAAGTTCAGAGTGAATATGTTACTTTTACCTTCCCCGAGCATGTATCACTTTAATCAATTAAATACTAATTACTACTCATAATATCCTGGCAAATGAAAATGAATGTATACAGTATGACATTATATGCCTTCAAAAAGCTGGTGAGGCACTAAGAGCGGCTCAGGGGCTGCAATCGTTGAATCAAATACACTTTTTCCGTAAATTTGTCTCTGAATACTCGCTAGAATGCTGAAAATGCAGAAGAAATGACTTGAACCATAACACAAATCCATGCGACGTTTGATTCTCAAATATCAATTGATAGAAACACGAAAAAAAAGTGATTCCATCATGATAATTTTAATCTTGGTGACTCATCTTTCTTGTGAACTGCTTCACAAAACATTGCTCGACGG